GCGTCGGCAGCAGCAGGCAGACGGTACACCTGCTGCACAGGTAGGGCAGGACCGGTTGCCAGGTGACGGCGGCCCGGGAAAGGCGAAGGCAGGCAGGGAGAGAGGGAGGGAGGGAGATAGGCAGGTGGGGGAGAACCGATCGCCCGTCCGTCCCTCCTCCTCCGGGTTCCCGGTATCCCAGCTCCCTAGCCAGGAAAGTCCCCCAGGGACGGTGAGACCCTTCCTGGCCGCGGTTCGCGTCGGGCTCTCGGGTGGGCCAGGGAGAAAGGAAAAGGGTCGCAGGCGTGCCCACCCCGACGGGAACCCCGCTGCTGACGTGGGGGGTGGAGATTCATTTTGTGTGGGTGCGTTTGCGCGTGTGTTGCTGGAGGGGCTCAGCCTTCCTAGGCCAAAGCACAGGTGTCCAATTCTTCCTTTGCTGCCTCAGAGAAGCACCTCTGTTAAGGTGTGTTTGTGTCAAGGTGAGAAGATCATTCTGGACTTGAAACAGAGACCCACTTCCTCAGCTGGTGCTCCGTCTCTTTGGTGTAGCTCACAGGATGGCCTCTGTAGGGGGAAAAGTGAGCCCTGGGGGTAGGGGGTACGCTTAGCGCCATGGAGCCCACCCACCCCTTCTCTGGGAGGAAGCAGTCTTTCGGGGGGAGGGCAGTGCTGGCCTGTTGGGAATGGCCATGCAGGCAGGAAGCCCTTCCAAGCCTGTCCTTCAGGTGTGGTAGGAGGACCAGCGTGTGTGTCAGTTCTTTTGGTTTATCTTTGGTGTGCGCGTGTGTGTTTGTGTGTAGCTGAACGTGGCCTCTGACTCTCCTGGTGCTCTTGAGTGTCTGATCAGGGCTTGCGTTGGGGTCCAGCCGCATGGAGACTCTTACCCAATACGTACACACTCAGTGGCCGGAGGTCTTCAATGAAAGGCCATCTGGCTGGATCTCCCTGGGCCAGGTTAGGGCAGCTGAAGTTGGTGGAGGGAGCAGGAGAGCTGAAGGGGGGGCTTCCTCTCTCTCACACACACACATATACCCCAAATCTGGAGATCAAGTAAAGAACACAGGATCGAACGCCCAGCATAGGCGCTTCTCCCAGGACTGGCCTTGCCCCCTTCTTCCAAATCCCTGCTCGAGAAGAAAATGGTCTTGGATTGAGACTTGAATCCTCAGCGCTGGGCTGTGAGTGTTTGTGTGTGTGTGAATCTTGGCTTCCTTCCTTTCTTTTGCTCTGCTTGCACTTTTCCGTGGGAAAGCGCAACGTGTGTTGCGCCCAGTAGGTGAAAGAGGCCCGTCTCCGCTGCCCTGTCCAGCCACTGGCCGGAGGGAGGGCCAGAGAAGCCCTTGGCAGACGCAGGAGGGGCCAGACCAGGGCAAGGCCACTCCAGGAGCCACACACTCAGCGTCTCTGGTCATCTTGGCTGCTGGGGGGGGTGACCATGTGGCCGCGGCAACTTTGGCAAAGGGAGATGGTCTCCTAGTGGGCCCTGCCTGTGTGTCTCTCTTGCAGATTCCTTCTTGCAGGTCCAACAGTGTTGGGTTTTTCCACTGACTCTTTGTCTACTCCTTCCTTGTGGCTTGGATTGATGCTTGTAGATTATTTTTCTTGAGGAGCCCTGGGGTCAGCTCTGAAAAGCACAGAGCCATTAATCAATTCCTTCCTTCCTTCCTTCCTTCCTTCCTTCCTTCCTGTTCATTTCTCAGCATCATGTGTTTGCCTGGGGAAAATCACCGGTCCTGGGTGCTGTGACTTTTGGTATTTGCTGTGGTCACTAGAAAAGGTTGAAGGGGAGATGATGCCTACTCCACAACAGGTTTCCACCAAGCAGAATGAATTGTGCCTCCCCAACCCTATTCTTCTGGCTTCTGGATAGCTCCGTGGTTGAGGCATTTGCCTGCGGAGCCCGAGGTTGAGAGTTTGATTTCCCCCATGGAGCCTCCTTGACAGGGGCTGCACTTTCTGATCCATGGATCCCCTTCCAGATTTATAGTTCTGAAGTTCCTTTTTTTCCCCCCATACATCCTTGCAAGCTCAAGGGGGCTGAACGGCCCGGATCCCTGCAAACTGACGCTGAAATTCCCCTTGGTGTGAGAATCCTCTCGGCCTTCGCCGGTGCTCATTTCTGCCTCTGCCTCTCTTCTGGGTCACATGCCTGGCTGTGCCCTATTTTACCTGCTTCTTTGCCTTTCTGCCTCTGTGTACTTGCTGCTTCTTTGTGCCAGCCCCTAGCAATTCCTCCTGCAAAATTCAAAGCCCGGTGCTGTCCATGCACCCGGTTTGCTCCGCAGGTGGGGAGCAGGGCCCGTTTGCAATCTCCTGGGGCTACAGTGTGTCAGTAGCTTTCTAGTGCCACCGTCTTCATGCCTGGCCCACGTGCACGTCTTGGGAGGGACATCTGTGCCTGGCCACCCTCCATTGCACAGTGGCAGAAGGATGCTAAGAGGGAGAGGGAAGAGCCTGGCATGACCCTTTAATCTTTGCGGGAACCCTCCTTAGTGCCCCTGGATATGGCAGCTCATGATCTGTCCCACTTGGAGGAAACCATGGTGCACGGGGGTGCACAGTTGGATGGTCTCCTTGACCCACCCTGCTGGTGGTTGCGGTTGGCTGCACAGCGGTGCCACGGGCTTAGAGGCCACCCTGTGCCTGCCGTGGAACGTCACGCGTCCACCTCTTTGCTTCTGCGCTGACTCTTGGTGCTGCTCCTCTTGAAAGCCCAACTGGCCAACAAGCGCTGTTTATTCCCTGCGTTTTTGATGTGGACGTTTGCGGAGAAAGAGTCCAAAGAGCTTACGGTTGACAAACCTGTGGAGGAAACCACAGGACATGGAAAGAGAGCAGGATGCCTTCCAGCCAACTGGGATATGTTGTCTTCGAACCAGGACTGGCTTCCCTTGGTTCTGTCTAGACTGGAGGAGTCCCTCTTCCTGTCGGACGAGGCCACGGGAGGATTGGGCCCGGGGAGATCACAGGAGAGGAAAAGAGAAGAGGACAGGGTAGGAAAGGGGTCAGCCTCGGTGCAGGCAGGAGACATCCATGGCTTTGTGAGCTTGGTTTTGAGGTGTGCGGCTTGCTTGAGATTATGGCGCACATGCTTTCTCGGTGCCTGCGGGGGAAACCCACAATGCAGCTCCTATGGTCTCGCAGATGGACATGTGGGTGGAAGGCAGGCAGGTGGCTTGGTGGAAAATCAAAGGAGGGCCCTCTTAGATTCCAGCAGGGGAAATTGCCCAGCGCTAATCGCTGGGTTTATGCATTTCCTGGCCCCTCTGCCTGTGAAGACTTAGGAAGCCACTTAAAGTTACATAACCGGCCGCCTCTCGAGGGATCATCAACACTTCCCTTGTGAGGCTTCCAGGCTTTGCGGGGGAGGGGGGGCGCCGGTTCGGGAGGGGTTTGGATGTTGTCCCTTGCTGGGTCGACAGAGGCCTGGCGTTGTTTTTGGAGAGCATTCAAGGTGGGCAGGACTGGGCGCCAAATAAAATAAGCCGTACCCGCAGCTCCGTCCTCCCTACCCAGCTGGAGGAGGAGGAGGAGGAGGAAATGACGTCAGGTGCTTGCCAAACAGGGAAGAGCCGCAGCCGAAGGGCCTCTGAGGATGGCTGGCAGTGAGGTGCCCCCCCCTTCTCTCCCTCCCTCCCTCCCTCCTCTTGAGATGGGAGGCAAAAAGGTCGCAGAGGGAGAGAAAAGCAGCAGCTTCCATGTGGAAGATGCTGCCAGGATCAGCGATCCAGAAACCTAGAAAGTGAAGCGGACACTGGTCGTTCGAAACTGGGGGATTGCTCTGGACGCAGGATGATTTTTTTCTGCCGGTCTCGGCCTGATCTGTGTGTGGAGACGCCGCCACCACCTCTCCTCAGCCTCCTACGGCAAATCTCCCCTCTCTTCCGTGTCGCAGGGAGACAACACACACACACACAGAGAGAGAGAGAGAGAGACACAGACACACACAGAGAGAGTTCTGCTTTGCTTTGCTTTCCTTAGACCCGAGTCTCTCTCTCTCAGGTCTAAATCCTCTTGGTTGCATCAATCCCGATTCTGTTTTGGAGCATCCTAAGGAAATCCCACTGTCGTGTATCGCCAGTATTGCTTTTGGCTGTCGGATTTGTTCTGCAGGGTCTCTAGGGTTTTAAGACTGAACCCGTAAACCAGCCAGAGTCATGCTTTGCCCTAATGGGGCTGTATATCAACCCAAGAAAGAAATAATACTTCGCAAGGAGGGACCCGAAGGCAGACAAGCCCCCCACCCCCCCGTGGCTGGCCTGCTTCTCTTTTTAAAAGGCACCTCAAAGCTTCCACCCGCACCCCATGTCTGTGATGCCAGATGTGGCCCTGCTTGTGAGCTGGAGCACATCTGATCAGGGAGGGAGGTTAGCACAGGTGTGTGTGTGTGTAAGAGAGAGAGAGCTTTTTGAGCAGAGCTTGGAGAGGCTAGTGGGGCGTGGGGGGAGAGCATCTTTTTCCATGCACCTCAGATCCTTTGCTGGATCAGGCCTGCTGTGATTTGAACCATTCATTCATTCATTCATTCATTCATTCATTCATTCATTCATTCATTCATTCATTCATTCATTCATTCATTTCTCCTTGAAAAAGACCCGAAGCGAACAATGAAATACTAAATTTAAATGGTGCGGTGTTTGCTCAGAAGCTGGACAACACTCACTAGCATGCCTGAGTATTGCGATCTCTGCCTCTTATGCATTTGCTCCATGTGACCTGCTCTTTGTTTCGAACTCTCCTCCTGAGGTTGGATGTATTTAACCCCCCCCTTTCAGAGATAGCTAGAGAGCCCATGCCAGCGGGAGGGGGTCCCTCTGCCTCCCTCCCTGTGTTTTCTAGGGACCTGAATGGGGTCATCAGAGGTGAGCAGCCTCAGAGGAGGCCTGTGGGAGCCGGGACAGTCTTCTTCATAATCATCATCTTAAAATTTCATAGCTGGAAAGTGGACCAACCCTATGAATTCAGCCCCTGTCAAGGAGGGCCAGTGGGGGGGAGGGGGGAATCGAACTCCCAACTTCTGGCTCCACAGCCAGAGGCTCCCACCATGGAGCTGGTGGGCTTAGACTTGAACAGTAGCGCCTCTCTGCCCAGGGAGGTCACGATCCAGCAACCCAGCAGCAGATGCTCGTTCCTGGCCCCATCCTGAGTCTGCTCCAGTTTCCACCATGGAGCTGGTGGGCTCAGACTTGAGCAGTAGCGCCTCTCTGCCCCAGGGAGGTCCCGATCCAGCAACCCAGCAGCAGATGCTCCTTCCTGGCCCCATCCTGAGTCTGCTCCAGCTTTCCCCACCACCACCACCCCGCTGTTCTAGGCTGCCGCCACACCCCCCCACTACCGGCGTCCATCCTGCAGGATGTGTGAAAGAGAAAGCAGGCGGGGGGTGGTGGTGGCGTGAGGTGGGGGGAAGTTGCATTTCCCTCCTTGGCCGCTTTTTCACTTTCCCAGGAGAAAATCCGGGAGCTGTGTGGGAGAGCCTTGTGCCGCTCATTGTGCGGCTTTGAATGGGAAAGATCCTTATAATTCTGGCTGGGGACGGAAATGGAGAAGAGGGAGTGGGTGGAGGCGGGGGGGGGAGAGAGAAAAGTCTCAAACGAGGACCCTGAAAGTGGGGGGGGGGGAGAGCCACACCTTTGCTTGCTTGTGCATATGAAGATGATGGCGATGGTCTCTGGTCTCCTGTCTTCTTTCCAAATCCTTCCTCCGCACCCCCAGATCTCCTTCGTTCCTACCTTTGCCAGTTTCAGCTGCATGGGTGGGTGAGGATATTGGACCGTGTGGGGCAGAGGTTCTGCCCTGGTGGGTGCGCACCAGGGGAAGGGCAGAACAGAGCCAGCCGCTGGCTCTTCTGGACCGAACATCCCCCCCCCCGAGTTCCTAATCTTCCCAGGGTGGGGGGAGAAGCTTCTCCCTCGGGCTGCTGGGCTCCTTCCCTTCCTCTTGACTTTGTTTGGCCCCTGTGCTTGTGTGGTGTGATAGAAGCTGGTGAACTGCAGAGGCTTCTGAGTGACGTGCCTTATCTCTCCCCCCCCCCCATGCTTAGAGGAAGAGAACTTTCTCTTCCAGGAAAGCTCTTTATATCAGCTTCTGTTTATATACCAAGCAAGCACACCATAACCTTCTCCCACCGCCAAGCTTGTCCCCAGACACACACACACACACACCAGAACCCCCTCCGGCTCAATCATGTGCTCACCATGATCATCTAGATGATCTAGTGGCTCCCTTTCTATATAGAGCAAGAGGGATGTAAATCATCCGGGTTTTATTCCGAAGGAACGGCACACATCCAAACCAATGGCAGGACCAAAGGGGCTAAAAGACCTCCCCTCACAAGCCCGGTTTTTATCGTCGTCCTCTTAAAACTGCAGAGCTGGAAGGGGACCCCGTGGGGTCATCCAGTCCAGCCCCCATCAAGGAGGCTCTGTAGGGGAATCGAACTCCCAAATGGCTGTGCATGCAGAGGCCTCAGCCCCTGAGTTAAGTTATCGAGCTGTCTCGTGCTAGCCTATTCTTTCGTCTGAGAGCGCCGCCACGTGGCACCTGTGCCAGCCCTCCCTCCCTTCGGCGGCCCTCACCTCCTGCTTTTCCCTCCCCTCCAGGAAGCCACAGCAGCCGGGTGCCTGGCGCGGTGAGAGGGCGGCGCAGCGGTGATCCGGGCAAGGGCGCCATGTCTACGGCAAGCATCGCATCCCAAGATATGAGGATCCCCCTGGAGGGGGCCTTCCTCCCCCACCGGCAGGGCCTCGAGGGGCTGCCGAGCTGCTGGAACAGCCACAGCGACCACCGCCTGGAAAAGTGAGTGTGGCCGTGGAAGAAGGGGGCGCCGTTCCTCCGAGGCTCCCGCTCCCCCTGGCGGCGCTTGCTGGCCATTCCGCTGACCACTGAGTGCTGTTCCTCTGAGGCTCCCGCTCCCCCTGGCAGCGCTTGTTGGCCATTCTGCTGACCACTGACCACCACCCGCCGGCTCTTCTCTTTCTCTCCCTCAGGACTTTCTTCGAGGTGGATCCTGTCACGGTGGCTTACGGGCTCAACGCATCAGCCGAGCAGCCCTCAGGACCCACGGGTAGGTATTACGTGGGGAGACAGAGACCTGTGCCACTGGTGACTGGTGTGTGCTTTGACGTGGGGCCAGAGCCCCCTTTCCCCATTGGGTTTTTTTTTTGGCTCGTGGGGTGCATGCTTGGTGCTGTGACTTGGAGGGGGAGCAGAGCAATCTCCCGATTCTCCCTTTCTCTCAAGCCCCCCTTTTAGGCCCTATAGAACAAGGAAGTGGATGCCCCTTAATAATAACAGAATAATAACAACAAACTTAGACTGGCTGAGCTGGGAGAAGGACTCTAGGGATCATCTAGTCCAGCCCCTCTCAAGGAGGCGCCACCCGGGAATCAAACTCCCAGCCTGCTCACAAGGGCTCCGAAATGTTTCGTGGCTGGGTGGCTCTACCGCTCCCCTGCTGAGGCCACAGAGGTCTGGCTGCAGAGTTCACGGCTTTGCGTTGCATCTCGTCCCTCCGCGCCAGCAGCGGGCAGCCGTTTCCTGGACCTCTGGGGCACCTCTTTGTCCCGGGGGGGGGAGGAGAGGGGGTGGAGTCTTCAGTTTCCCCCAGCGAACGGGTCTCCTCGGCCGGCACTGTCTTGGGCGAGACAAAAGTCGTACGGACTCCATGGGGATCACGGCGTCAGCTGCTCTGGGAAGGGCTCAGGACTGCTCTGCAGCTTTGCAGTCCGTGGGAATTTCCCCCAGGACCCGTTTTTATTTTGCTTTTGTCAAGACCCTGTGTCGTGCTGTTCTTATTCTGCTTTCTCTCCTTGCAGCTCACGTTTTGTGTCCCGGCTCTGAAAAAGGTCCCGGCCGCCCTGAGCACAGCCAGCCCGTCCTGCCTCTGAAGCCCGGCGGCCCAAGGAAGGAGCCAGGATCCGACCCAGAGGAGGGGGCCCTCCTGCCGGGCTTTGGCAGACTTTCTCTGGGCCCGAGCGGCGTTTCCGACAGGACCCCTCCCCACACGCCGGTCAAGAAGGGCGGGCCCGCGGGCTTCCTTTTCCCTCCCGGGCCGTCGGGGGACCGGAGCGTCCGGCCTCTGCCCCCTCTCCCTGTCGCCCCGAAGGACTTTCTCCGGGATGAAATGGACCGGGAGGTGGAGTTCTTGACCAGTTCGGACACCGACCCTCTGCTTGCGGACAGCAGCCTGGCTTTCCAGCCCTCCGCTCAGGGCAGGCGAAGCTTCCGGGGCTGCGGGCAGATCAACTATGCGTATGCAGACACCCCTGGCGCGCCAACCCTGGAGGAGCCCCCCTCCGGCTGCCCCCAGCCAAGCTCTTGCCCACCCCCTCCGCCACCCCCTCCACCCCCTCAGCTCCACCGGAGACTGAGGCGCTCCCATTCGGGGCCCGCCGGCTCCTTCCATAAGCCCGTGGTCCGGGTGAGCAACCACCTCCGGCAGGCCTCGCCCTGTTCGGATGATGACAAACCCGAAGTCCCGCCTCGGGTCCCGATTCCTCCCCGGGCGCTCAAGCCAGACTATCGGAGATGGTCTGCCGAGGTTGCCTCCAGTGCTTACAGCGACGAAGATAAGCCCCCCAAAGTACCCCCGAGGGAGCCCCTCTCCCGGAACAGCTCTCGCACCCCGAGCCCCAAAAGCTTGCCCTCGTACCTCAAAGGCATCATGCCGCCGACGCAGAGCTTTGCCCCGGATCCCAAGTACGTCAGCAACAAAGCCCTCCAGAGGCAGCACAGCGAGGGGTCTGCCCACCGCATCCCCTGCATCCTCCCCATCATCGAGAACGGCCGCAAGGTCAGCTCCACGCATTACTACCTGTTGCCCGAAAGACCCCCCTACCTGGACAGGTACGAGAAGTTCTTCCAAGAAGCGGAAGAGGCTGCGGCTGTGCCGGAGGGGCCGCTCCTGTGGGATGAGAGAGACGACAACGTGGAGGAGGTGGTGGCGGCGGCGGCCGCCGTCACGGACGCTCTGGCCGCTCCCGTGAAGCGCAAACACTTCTCTTGCGTGGTTTCTCCGTAGGGGCAGAAGGGCACCGATGGCAGAGAAGCCGGTAGGCGGAGGGTGTTTTTGGAAGGAGAGTTAGGAGCCCCTTCTCCCGCTAGGCAAGGGAGAACGGCGGCCTCCGGGCATCTTTCTCGGTGGGTTGGAAGAAACCTCGGAGAAAGACCGGAGCAGGGCTGGCTGCTGTTGGCCAGTCAGTCCCTGCGCTAGAGTAATATATGGATAGTTAACTATATTGTAGACATTCACCTAAGTAGCAGAAGGGATGGCGGTTTCGCTAACGGAGCAGACAGCCTGAGCTCGAAGGCCGAGGAGAACGTGCTGCTCAGTATTCTGGATGATGGTTATCTGAGGACTTTTCTGCCCACTGAAGCGCAGGCGGCTTCTCCCCGTCCGGCAAGCCTGCCCTTCTGCCCGTGTCGTGAATGGCCAGCAAGGCGCCCCCTTCGGTTGGGTTTGAATGGGTGGCTTTATGTGTGGAGTGGAGAGTCCACCTCTTCTGCAAGGACTCCTCCCCTCCCGATAGGCGGATGAGGCAGAAAGGTGGGACGTGACGTCGGCCGGCCGGCCTCGGAGTTGGAGTCGCGAATGCCCGTCGGTGCCCGCTTGCCATCCGGGTGGGATCTGTAAAAAGCTACCCCCGTTTTTGTTTTTTCCAAGTGGGATGGGACGGAAGAGACTCTTACGTGGGTGACGTGTAGCCCCCGCTGCTGGAAGCACAACACGATCTTTTGAAAAAGGAGGCCGAGTCCTGGTCTGCCAGGAGGGCGTGCGTGCGTTTGTACATAGCAACTTGGCCCAAGCGGGTCTTGGGCCGCATCCTGTCTAGTGTTCTTCAGGGAGGAAGAGGAGGTGGTGGCTGCGGTTCGGGGGCAAAGTCCCCATTTCCACTTGGAGGTGGTGTTCCAGATGTCAGCTGCAAGGATGCCTGTGAATTCGGTTGGCGGGCGTAAATCCATTTGTAATATCTCTTGTTAGAATACTTTCTCCTGCTGACTTCTCTTGACTGGGACTGAATGTGCCAGTTTCTTTTTTCCTTTCTCTAGTAAATAAGTAAGCATCATTTGTAGGCCCCTTTTCTCCCAGTGAGGAGACCTAAGTAGGCTCATAAGGTTAGAACTAGCTTTGTGTGTGTTTAGTCGTTTAGTCGTGTCCGACTCTTCGTGACCCCATGGACCAGAGCACGCCAGGCCCTCACACACACACACACACACACACACACACACACACATTCACATTCCACTGCTGTGAGCCCAAGGCCAAAGGTGTGTCATGCGACAACGGTCTCTCTTTCTCTCTCATATTCTCTCTCTGTGTTTGTGATTTTGTGACAGCCACAAACATGAATGTTTACAGTTTTAGAAACTGCTGAATAGAAGCTACAACCCCCCTCCCAAAAAAAAGCTCACATGGTTGTGGGACAAACTAAATGAAGGCAAGGCGCATGTGGGGACCCGTCATGCTCCGAGGGTGCTACGTCTGGTGTACAGTATTGTGGAAGAATTAAGTTGCCGTTTCACTTTGTATTTTGGATATTGCCATGTCTTGCGTTCAATAAAGTTACAATATACTTATTTATGATAATTTGGCGGTCTCTTGCATTTCTGGCCTGCTTGGGCTTCATTGGTCCATGGAGGGGGGGAGAATTGGAGAAGTTCTGGGTTGCTGGGAAGGGACACGGGGTAGAAATCCTCATTTGGGCCATAGCGGAACTGAGACAGGCTGAACACATTAACAAAAAACCCAAATTTCTTCACCAGGCCAGGGGGTTTGAGAAGCAGAAAGGAAGCAGGGAGGTCACTAAGGAGGGGATGAAAGCTGCCTTCTTCTTAGGAAGGGCGAGTGCAAGGGAGGGAGGGGTGTGCCCCCCCACCCAATTCTTCTGCCTTGAGTATTTGACACCCAGCATGGTGGCTCCTTTATGCCTCCCGCCCAATCTCTAGTGGAGCCATCCTGGTTATCATGAAAACTGGCTTAGGTCTCTGGCTGCAAAACCAGAGGTTGGGCGTTGGATTCTCCCACGGGGCCTCCTTGAGAAAGGCTGGACATCCGTACGGTGTCCCTCCCAGATCTGCAGTTCTAGGGTTATTCTTAAAAGGTGTGTGTGTGTGTGTGTGCGGAAGAAATGAGCTTCCCTGTTCACGTCTGTTTGGGTAAAATCCAGCCTTCCTGTCCAGGCAGGAACCAGGGTGTTCCGTTTTCACAGAGTGTCTTGAGAACCACGTTGGGAGGCCCTCTCTTTTTCATTTCTCTTGGCAGTGAGGAAATGCAGCTAGAGAGAGAGAGAGATGCCAAGCAGCCGGGCAGACACTAGATCTGGAGATTGGGTCGGGAGATTGGAACTGGTAACTCAAAGACTGTTTCTCCCTTCATGAGCCAGCTCGGGTGTGAAGGTCATTGGGAGGGGCCTTTCTCTCAGTCCCATCACCTTCTCAGGTGTGTTTGATGGGGACCCAGGAGAGGGCCTTCTCTGTGGCTGCTCCCAGACTTTGGAACTCCCTCCCACTGGAGACCAGCCTGGCCCCATCTTCGCTGTCCTTCCACAAGTAGGCGAAGACCTTTCTCTTCAGGCCAGCTTTCCCTCCATGACTGGCTACCCACATGTGATTTTTAAACGGATTGTTATGCATTACTGCTCTGACGGGGTTTTTAGCACTACTTGTCTTTACCATTCCTCACGGTGGCATTTGTCTGTTCTTTGTTAATATTTGTATTAAAATGTTAAATATTTCTATACACTACTTGCTTCAGAGTGGCATTTGTTCTTTGTTAAAATTTGTATTAAAATGTTAAATATTTCTATACTTAATGTTTCTAGCTTTAATATCATTTTTTTAAAATGATGCAAGCTGCCTCTTTATACTCATTGTTTTTAGCTTTAAAGGTCTTTCAAGGACGTACGCCACCGGAGGTCTCTTTTAAGGAGAAAGGTGGGGTGAACATATTTTAAACAAATAATAAATGAAGAAGTCAAAGGTGCCCGATAATTGTGTGAGTCTTAAGGGTCTCCGCTACGAACACGGAAGCGTTTCACCTCCAGCCGTGAGAAATTAGGGGCTGGAGAAGGGGCTGCTGATGGTGGGTCAGGCAGAAAAGGGAGGAAGAAGAGGGAGATGAAGATGAAAAGGAAGCCCCCATCGGTGCTGCTCCTCACTTCTACTTCCCTGCTGGTTCTTCAGGACCAGGAGCATCCAGAGGATGCTGAGGAAGATGTAGTAGGCATCCTTCAGTCTCGAGAAACTATAGTAACATGCTCTGTATGGAGGACTTGCAACAGCATCTAGTGTGGCTGAGAAGGCCAATTCGAGAGCGACCATCCCTTCCACACTGAAGACAAATCCAATCTGTCCCCTGTCCAGCTCCCTGGTTTTGCTTCCTTTGTGACTTCCTCTTTGCCTCAGCCTGCTGGACAAGGGTCTCTTCAAATTGGGAGAGGCCATCATGCACCGCCTGCCTCCAGGCTGAATGCTCAGATGTCAGGGTTTCCCATCTGTTGAGGTCCATTCCTAAAGCCTTCAGATCCCACTTGCAGATCTCCTTGGATTGCAGCTGTGGTCTCCCTGTCGTGTGGGGAAGAAGCAGGGAGAGAAAAAGAGGGACCTCCCCTGCCCAGAAGAGCCTTTGGGTCTGACTCCTGGGGATTTAGCACCTCGTGCAAAAGTTTGGAAGGCTGATCCGACAGGGGAGGGAGGGAGGAAGACCCCGTGGCATCATCTAAAGAAGAAGGAGGGGGAGACGAGGAGGGGGAAAAAACAAGCAAGGCGAACTGTGCCTTTATTCCACTTCAGTGCCAGAAAGGCAAGCTTTCCAGCTGCCCCCGGGGGGTCTCGCTTAAGACAGAAGGCAGGGCAGAAAATCCTGCTTTTCGTGTCAGCTTCTCCCGGGCACCCAGAGGCAGAGTTTCACCTTTTCACCTGAGAGGTGGTGGGGAAGGATCGGGGCCCTTCTCTTTCCCTTTCCCTCTTCCCCGAGGAAGCATCCTGCAAAGGAGTCTGATGATGGCGAGACTTTTGCTGCTGAGCCCCTCCGGCATGGGGTGGGGGTGGGGCTGAGAGGTGCAGTTCTGCTTGGGGGGCAGGTAGGTCCTGTGGGATTGGGACCGGGGGGGGGGCAAAAAAACCCACATGCAGCTTCTCCTTCCCAAAGTGGGCCATCTTTCCTGGGAGCAGAAAGGGGGGGCGGTTAGTCAAGGGTGAGGATCAGGAAGGGATATATATATTACTCCATCTTTCTCCTTTAAAAAGGAACCCGGGTGGCTGACATCATTGAAAGACCATATTGAAAAGCTATAAATGGTTAAGTATGCAATTAAAATCCGACAAAGGTCCGCATAGTCAAAGCTATGGTTTTCCTGGGAGCAGAAAGGGGGGGGGTTAGTCAAGGGCGAGGATCAGGAAGGGGTCCTTATTAATGGCCCCTCCCAACCCCGTCCCATTCTGGTGGGGTGCTCCTCTTGTTATATAAAACTCCATCTTTCTCCTTTAAAAAGGAACCCGGGTGGCTGACATCATTGAAAGACCATACTGAAAAGCTATAAACGGTTAAGTATGCAATTAAAATCCGACAAAGGTCCGCATAGTCAAAGCTATGGTTTTTCCAGTAGCGATGTATGGAAGTGAGCGCTGGACCATAAAGAAGTCTGACCGCCGAAGAACTGAAGCTTTTGAATTGTGGTGCTGGAGGAGACTCTTGAGAGTCCCCTGGACTGCAGAGAACAAACATCCATTTGAAGGAAATCAGCCCTGAGTGCTCACTGGAAGGACAGATCCTGAAGCTGAGGCTCCAATACTTTGGCCATCTCATGAGAAGAGAAGACTCCCTGGAAAAGACCCTGATGTTGGGAAAGTGTGAGGGCAGGAGGAGAGGGGGACTACAGAGGACGAGATGGTTGGACAGTGTCATCGAAGCAACCAACATGAATTTGACCCAACTCCGGGAGGCAGTGGAAAATTCACTCATGGCTTCTTGGAGAAGAATCAGTTTCTTAAAGCATATGCAATACGCTGGTGCAATGCACTTGCCTCTTTTAAACAATGCACTTGCCTTTTTTAAAGGCTTAAATAAAAAATGCTTTTTACAAGTTCTAAAGAACCGCATGGGGTTTGTCATTCATTTCCCTTGTCCGGCTGGTTCTTCCTTTCCTGATTCTGCTCGAGAAGGAGGTGGTGAGGAGATATTATACAGCCTCATCCCTTCATTGGTGTGGTCTGGATTTCTGCAAAAAGTCTCAAGTGGATTTTAGCGATATGAAGAGTTATTAGTGCAGCCAGATGTGTAGGGACCAGTTTAATTGGCTTCATCAGCTTCAGGAAGGGCAGGGGACTTTCTCTCTTGAGAACCTGCCTCAATGGGAAGGCTTTGAGTCTCAGCTAGGCCAATCTCCACCCAAGCTTCTTGCTCAGAAAGAAAGCTCCCAGCTAGCACTGGGGCAGGAACAGGAAGCTTGGGTGAAGCTAGGCCTAGCTTGGCCTCAAAGCCTTCCAGTTGAGGCCTTTCTTCCAGGTGAGCCACATTCAGGCATTTGTAAGGTACCTGTAAAGTAGGTAGAACTTCCAGAATGGAATATTGTGGTATTTGTAGTCCAGGAAATCAGAAAAACCCATCCCCAGGTGCTACCCTTGTGCTAACTCTGTAAATGCAGAGCCTCTAAGCAGAACAAGTCTTATGCTAGCTCAACCAATACAGGTTTGAATCATTTTGCATATTATGAGCAGTTGCTCGTTGGGTTTTATTGCTTTTGAACCTTTTTTTCCCCTTAGATCTTGAGGGAGCATGCATGGCTCTCTTCTTTTCTTCCTCCTCCCTTCCTCCTCACTACAATCCTACAATCAGGTAGGTTGTATTGACGTCAAGAAACTGGTCCAGAGACACAGAATGGGCTTCATAGCCAGGTCAGGATCAGAACCTGGATTTTCCACATCCTGATCCAGGACTCCGTAACCAATGCAGCCACACTGGGTCTCAAGGGTCAGAGCAGAGATTTGGTTTGTACGTGAAAGCCAAGGGCTGTAGTCTTTTGTACCAGTGGGTCCCAGCCTCAGGTCCCTGGATGTTCTTGGAGTAAAACTCTCAGAAGCCTTCACCACTAGCTGTGCTGGCTTGGATTTTTTGGGAGTTGTAGTCCATGTCCATCTGGTGACCCAAGGTTGGGAAGCACTTGATGTTCCTTTCTGACATCATGTTGCTTTTCTGATGTCACCTCAACGCTATCCTTCCTGGGCTGTACGATGAGGACAAGAATACAAGGTATTGACTTGAGTTCATGGTACTCCATGAAGGCTTTCTAAACTGAACCGAGTGTCAACAAAAAAATGGTTCAGCTTGACTTCCTTGCTGGGTGGTTGTAAAGCAAAGTTTACTTCTTGATCTTTGCGGTTCATTTTCCATTATCATGGTGGAGAGATCCTGGTTCTCTCTTTTCCCAAGGCTCTGAATCTTCCTTCTTGAGCCTAACATAGAATGTTGGCCGATCCAAAACTCTGCCTCTCCATTCTTGATGCTTTTCAAAATCCACTCACGGCTTCTTGGAGAAGAATCAATTTCTTAAAGCATTTGCAATATGCTTGTGCATCACTAGGAAAAAGGGAGATGTCCCTTTTTGTGACTCATGGGGTTCTAGAATTTTGATAGCGAAGGATTCTTTTCTGCAAGACCGAAAAGAAAGGCAAGTGGTGGGAAACCCCCATTTCCCTGATCTTTGGATTGAGAGAATGTCTTGCTCCAGAATACCAGAACTTCCAGCTGTCATTATTGACAATGGATCGGGGTTGTGCAAAGCTGGTCTGTCTGGAGAGCAAGCTCCTCGAGCCGTCGTTGCGACGGTTGTGGGCTACCCCAAATTCCAATCCATCATGTTTGGCCCGGTACAGAGGGAGTTTTATGTCGGCAAAGAAGCCCAAGTCAAGAGAGGTATCTTATCTTTCAAATATCCTGTGGAGCATGGAATAGTCACCTCCTGGGATGACATGGAGAAAATCTGGAGATACATATACAAGCACGGGCTAAGACTGAGAGCCCAAGAGCGGCCGGTGCTATTAACGGAAGCACCCATGAATCCCATGCCCAACAGAGAAAAAATGACAGAGATCATGTTTGAGCATTTCCAGGTGCCAGCCATGTTTGTGGGGCTGCAAGCTTTAATGGCCCTCTACGCTTCTGGTCATACCACTGGCTTAGTCTTAGATAGCGGAGATGGTGTCACGCTGACTGTGCCTATCTACAAAGGCCATTGCTTGCTTCATGCCATTTCCAGGTTGAATTTTGCAGGCCGGGATATCATAAAACATTTAGCGACACTGCTCTTAGAGACTGGCCATACCTTTTTGAGCTCTGCTGAGAAGGAGATTGTGAAAGACATCAAAGAGAACCTGTGCTATGTAGCGTTAGACCCCGAGCAGGAGAAAGACAAAAAGCTGATCCAAACCTACACTCTCCCTGATGGAAATCCTGTCAAAATTGGGGACCAGCTCTTCAGAGCACCAGAGACCCTTTTCAGCCCAGGGGATGCTGGAGTCACAGCACCCGGGGTCCACCAGATGATCGCGGACAGCATCTCCAAATGTGACGGCAGCATCCAACAGGCCCTCTGGAAGAATGTGGTCCTGGCAGGAGGGTCGACCCTTTTCCCTGGCCTAAGGGAAAGACTTCTAAAGGAACTCCAGACTCTTGCACCCAAAGG